TGACTGTAGTGTCGTCTGCAAACTTCAGGAGCTTGACAGAGGGGTCTTTAGAGGTGCAGTCATTCGCGTAGAGAGAGAAGAGCAGTGGGGAGAGTACACAAAATGAAGGGCTTTGTTTTGCTCATATTGTGTCTATGTTTTTTTCCTGGTAAGTCGTTTAAATATATCTTTCCGTAAACGATAATAGCTAAGCTGGCTTAGTTTCATTTTGTGTCAGGTCTAATCGAAGCGGCGCAGTCCGTACCTTTTTTTTGTGTTCATAACTTACAAAATGTATATAATAAGTGAGTACATCATGAAACCATTTTCCAAACTGTGTGTTTAGCTTATCCTGAATCGCTACGGACGGTACACCTATGATCAGTGTTGGGGGTAATATATTACAAGTAACGCGAGTTACGTAATCAGATTACTTTTTTCAAGTAACTAGTAAAGTAACGCATTACTTTTTAATTTACAAGAGAATATCTGAGTTACTTTTTCAAATAAGTAACGTAAGTTACTTTTTTTTCCAATTTATTGATTGACAGCTCTCCTGTCCTCATATTGAGAGAAATCAGAAGATGGGACTGTAGTTCTAAAATAAATATGAATATGCATTAATTCATCTCACTCACACACAAAAAAACACAGATTCAGTAGTCCTCAAAATGAATAAAAATAATGCAACTCAGAATATGACGCAAACCTGCAATAATTAAATGTTAAACAACACATATTTGGACTATTTTAGAGTGGTTCGGGTAGGTCCCGCTGCGGAGTAGCCCAGAAAAGAAGAGAAGTAGCTCCGGCTACAGTGTTCTTCCGCAAGACGCGTGCAGTTCTGTTTATTAACCGCTAGAGCGCCAAAAGTTACGGACTGCAGCTTTAACTAGACATACATGTATTGTTGCTGTCTGAAGTAACTGATGTCTGACATGGCTAGTGATATAGTTATGATGACTCACGATTGTTAGGCCTATGAGTCATTATGTGGGATCATTCATGAGAAACCTGTATCTCAACTGTAATTAAATCATGTTTTTACAGTCATTTTACCGTTTAATGTAGACATTGCCCTACCCTGCTCATGGTATTGCTTTTTATTTTTAAATTAATTTTTAAAAAATATCTTAAAACGTCTTAAATTTACACACCCTGTTGAAAAAAACAGCATATGCAGGTTAGGTATGTTTTGACGCTGGGATGCTGGTTTAAGCTGGTCCTTTGCTGGTTTAAACTGGTCCTTTGCTGGTTTAAACTGGTCCTTTGCTGGTTTATGCTGGTTCATGCTGGTCATGTGCTGGCAAAGGACCAGCATAAACCAGCATCCCAGCCTCAAAACATACCTAACCAGCATATGCTGTTTTTTTTCAACAGGGACTGCCAGCATCTAGAATGATTTAGTGTTCATAACAGCGGGCTCTCTGAACTTGTTATATTTTACAGTTTGTCAATTGATATAAGATTTTTGTAGGCTTTGCATACACGTGCACCCCTCAAAAGCCTGAAACCACAGAGCCCCCCACATGACAAATCTCAATTTAACCCCTGCTGATGAGTCAATGTGTAAATCTGTGATGTTCTTCTGCTGTTTGTTTGCATGTATTACATTATGAATCTAGACATATTTCTCTACCTTTAATCATTATTACCTTTAGAAAAAAAAGTACAGCACTGTCCTTTTGAATATTCTTATCCCTCTCTTCCAGCAGTGATTTATAATTATTTTTTCATTTCTTTTTCAGGTAATGATGATGATGATGATGTTAAAGATGAAGTGTTTGTGATGGAGGGCGATTCAGTCACTCTACACACTGGTGTTAAAACAAATCAGCAAGACAGAATGACATGGTATTTTAATGACACTCGCATCGCTCAAATCCGTGGAAATCAGAGTAAGACCTGTACAGATGAACAGTGTAAAGAGAGATTCAGAGACAGACTGAAGCTGGATCATCAGACTGGATCTCTGACCATCACAAACACCAGAACCACAGACGCTGGGGTTTTCCAACTTCACGCAATCAGCAGAAGAATCATTCAAAAGCTCTTTAATGTTGGTGAGTCATGTAACATTTTAAAGCATGTTAAATATGCCTAAATCACATACATTTTTGTTATTATTATTATTATTATGCATTGTTTTTTTGCTATTTTTAGGGGTCCAAGTACCAAAATTGCTGGAACTCTATTGCGTTTGTTCTAAATTTTCCATTTTTTTTGGTGTCTTTATTATTTCTCTGCTCTAAAAGTGTGTGGGCATCAGAGACTGTAATCCGCAGAGACCCCAAACTTGGCAAGAGGGTCTCAAGTGTGCACCGCTACTCATTCGCACATCTGTTTTTGGACTGTAGTTGTTTAGTTTCCAAAAAAGATCCTGCAGTCAGCTGTTGTTTTTTGTTTCAGATGTGTCTGGTGCAGAAATGGATAAAACAAATACCAAGTCAGTGATGGAGGGAGAATCTGTCACTTTACATCATGGTCTAGTAAAAAATCCAAATGATTCGATAACATGGTTTTTTAATGATGATCCCATCTCCGAAATCACTGGAGATCAGAGTAAGATCTGTACAGATGATCAGTGTAGAGAGAGATTCAGAGACAGACTGAAGCTGGATCATCAGACTGGATCTCTGACCATCACAAACATCACAACCACAGACGCTGGACTTTATAAACTACAGAACAACAGCCACATCCACCCTCACCACAGCATCATCAGTATTAGAAGATTCAGCATTACTGTTATTGGTGAGTGTAATTTAGTCAGTTGCTCAGTGCATTTGCGGCTGCGATTTACAAGATGTTGCAATGCTTTTGTCTCATGTTCAACCACTATAAAACATCTCTGAAAAAGAAGCACATTTTCAAATAGACGTAATCCTTATTAACAAGCTGCTACATTCTCGCCTTACAAACTCTTAAAACTACATTCGGTGACACAACAACAGTAGTAGTTCTAAAATGACAGTGGGTTTGGGCGTCCACCTTGACACTCGCTGTGAGAAATACTGAAGCAGAATGATACAAATGGTGAAACGGTTCCTGTGGAGATATTGTCAATATCTCATGCGTGGAAAGACCTCTCAGCCAATCAGATTCGAGGACCAGAAAGAACTGTTGTATATGTAATGTAGTATAATAGAATATGACATACTTTGAAATTAGATTGAGATAATCTATCACCTTTACAAGCATGTCAAAGTGATACAATTTTCATACATGAACAAACACGCTTATAATAAGTTTAATGTTAATAACATGAATGGTGCTTGACTATTATTTCTTAATTATTTTAAATCAATGTGAAAGTCGAAGTGCTGAGGAATTAATTTCTTTCAGCAAAAGATTTATTTTTATGCATTGTTTTATTTTTTCATTGAGAATCACAACATATCATGTGTTTCTGCTGATTTATTAATAAAATGGCCAATCAAAGGTGAAGTATGAAAAAGTCTGAAAGTATAAAATCCCCTGAAAGTGCTCAATAAATAAAGTGCAGGTACAATGTAAATAAGAGGTTGATTGCGATGTTGACATCTTCAGTGATTATGAAGTTTTTGCAGGCAATAATGATTGAAATGGGTATCAGGTGTAGCCAAGCTTAAGGCATATGGTTTCACTGCCAAAAAGCAGAAAGAGTGAAAGGCTCTCAACTTTTTAACAAGAATGTCCCTTTTTGTTGTTTGTTGTTGAAATCAATTAACAATTTATTTCTTCTTCAGGTGCATCTGGTGTTGAGACAGATGGAGTCTCAGTGTCAGTGAAGGAGGGAGATTCAGTCACTCTACACACTGATGTTGAAATTAACCATCAGGACACAATGAGATGGTATTTGAATGACTTTCGTATCGCTCAAATCATTGGAAATCAGAGTAAGATCTGTACAGATGATCAGTGTAAAAAGAGATTTAGGGACAGACTGAAGCTGGATCATCAGACTGGATCTCTGACCATCACAAACACCAGAACCACAGACTCTGGATTTTATAAACTACTGATAAGCAGCATAAAAATAATTCAAAAGATCTTCCATATTGCTGTTTATGGTGAGTCATTTAACATTTAATAGCAGGTTAAATATGCTTGAATCACAACATTATTTTTGTGTTTATTATAGTATTGACTATAGGGGTGTGCGATAATGACGAATAATGATATCTCGATATTTTGTTGATAACGATAATTAGACAATATTTTGCAGAGTGTTATTGTGCTCAGCAAAATATTGTGGAGGTTTAGGACTGCCGTGGACAGCTGACCAAAGCTTTTGATATTTTTCATATTCTGTCAGGTGATTAGTTTGCAGGAGTTTAACTTTTAAGTTAGAAATTTACTTTCAAGTTAATTAAACGAAGGAACATTTAAGGAAAATATGTTTTAAATATAAATCGAAGATCGCCAGTAGGTGGCAGCAAATCACTGCACGATTGAGTCATTCATTCAACCAATTCGCTCAAATGGCTGATTGATTCAGTAACAAAACACGGTTCATCAAGTCAACATCACATTTACAGTCATGCTGATACTTGGAGAAAAAATGTCGCTCTTTGTGTTATATTAACTATATCAGAATCAGATGATATAAATATAAAAGGGGACATTTTTGTCCCGTTATCTTGAATTTTGGTTGAATTTTACATGTATTTTAATAGATTAAAGCACGCAGTGAAAGCGTGCACTCTCTGGGTGTGTTTTTGTTTGGTTTTTGTGATATGCTTGACAATGTCAAATCACTTATCGTTTAAACAACAACGATATACAGTATATCCCATACCCCTAGTGACATTCAAATCTATTATCTTTAGATGTAAACTACTTATTCTCCTGTATTTTAATTTACATGCAAACATAATTTATTCATAACATTTGCCAATAAAGTTATACAAATACAAATTCAGATTAAAAAGTGTACAAATATTGCTTTTCAGAGTGAAAAAAGCCCCCCAAAAAAGTGCATATCTAAATTTATCTCGTGTAATTTTAATTTATGGTATTTCTTTCATCAAAATAGAGCTACGATTAACTGTTGCTTTGTGTTCCAGATGTTCCTGCCGATGAACGAGATGAAATGACGAGAAAGTCAATGCAGGAAGGAACATCTGTCACTTTGGACAGTCAAGTAATAACAAACCCAAATGATTTGATGACATGGCTTTTTAATGACATTCTCATCACTGAAATCACTGGAGATCAGAGTAAGATCTGTACAGATGATCAGTGTAGAGAGAGATTCAGAGACAGACTGAAGCTGGATCATCAGACTGGATCTCTGACCATCACAAACACCAGAACCACAGACTCTGGACTCTATAAACTAAAGATCGTCCACAGCATCCGCCGTCGTCACAGCATCAGCATCATCCGCATAAAGCAATTCAGCATTACTGTCATTGGTGAGTGTTATTTCATTTCAATTTCGTGTAATAGTCAGTTGTCCTCTTAATGCTATTGCATTATGTTGAGCTCTCAAGTGGTGATGCTTCTTTAGCAGCTGTTCTTCAAAAGAACACCAGATGGAGCCATTTATCAGTTAAATCAATATCATACAGCAGATGACCAAAGTAGAAGGATGTAGGCTAAATATTAGAAAAATAAAGCAGTGACCTTGATTATCAGATCATCTCTTGTAATAATGACTGTCTGTCTTTATCATTACAGATTCAAGTCTGCCTTTAGGAGTTATAGCAGGTGCAATATGTGCTGCTGTTGTTCTGCTGGTGGTTGTAATTGTAATTTGTGTAAAGTGCTGTTGCTGGTGCTGCAGTAGGGGCCATAAGAACAATGTAATATAACAATGATGTATTGTAACATATACTGTGTAAAATTACTGTCTGAATTAACAGTGGTGTGAATAAATTTTTGTATCAGCAGGATGTTATGTCCACGTTTTAGTGTCATGGTGTAACATAAATGTACACATAAAGAATTATCATCACTGTGTGATGGAGATGATTCACCTTCACCAGCGTTTCCGTGGGTCCTTAAATTTTTTTTAATTGTTGTATCTAACTTAAGGGCATAGAAATCTTAAATGGTACAAGAATGTTTTCAAGGGAATGTTTTTACTTTCACTTTCACTTTCACTTTTTCTTTCATTTTCAGAAAAATCTTAATTACAATTTCAAGAGGATATGAAATTCATATCATATCTTTAAAAGGATATGATTTCTTTGAAATCTGCAATATTGATTCCAAGTCAAAACACAGCACATTTATGTGAATGCATCTCTAAGGGGAATTGACTGTTTTCAGAAAAGTATTGATAGCATTTTTAGTTTATCTTATATCTATAATGCCTAGTAGCGTTTATAAGTGCAGCGCTGCTTTTACAGCCGTTTCCGGGGAAATCGCTATATTTCCGCCATTGCAAAAGTGCCACCTGCTGTCAGAGAATGAATTTGCATTTCCAATCAGCCCGTCTGCTGTTTCTGTTCAGAACAGTGTGAAAATCATTTTTACATACTTTTATGCAGTTGTAAAGCTGCTAATGCATTCTAAAAATCTGAACCATTAAGATACTAAGATATATTTATATCTTATTTTTATATAATAATTGGTATTTTTGATTAATCCTTTTTCTTAAAAAGTTTAGCATTTTAGAAAGCTTTTTTTCTTTTTATGAAAACCTGTATCTGAACTTTTGTGCCTAGTCATTTGCCTTAGCCTTAGCCCTTGTTATTTGCCTTAGCCTTAGCCTTAGCCTTAGCCTTCTCGGTTTCTGATCTTCGCCTGGTTCCCTGGATTCACCCCTTTTGTCTTGCCCCTTTTTGATTCTGTCTGCCGATCGTCGACCTGCGCTAGCCCTAGGACTATTCTTGTGTTTTGCCCACCATATACCTGTCTGCCTCTATCTGACCCATGCCTGTTTTGACCACGTCTCTGTCTTCTCCACAATAAAGTTTGCACATGGATCCGCACGTCTCACGTCTCGTCAGCCCCGTAACACAGGTCTTAAAAAAAGCCTTAAATTAAGTTTTAAAAATCCTGCAAATACACTTTTCGCATGAATACTCTGCTCTGCCAGGTCCAGTCTTTTGGTAACACCAGGGTTATTAAAGTAGACTACAACCAAAACTAAAATTACTTCATTATTTGAAATAAAATAAATGTTAACTGAAAAAAAACCCACCTCGCTGCCAAAGTAACATTTGTCATTTTAATTGAGTTTAATTTGAATGTACTCATTGTAAATTGGTATTCATTGTAAATAGCCTCAATATAGGTACATGATAAAGCATGTAAATGTTTTAAGAAAATGCATTACAATTTTAGAGTGATTTTTTAAAATAGTATCGTCATATACACGTATACAGCATTTTAGCATATTACATAACTAACTGGACATGGATTTTTAATTTTACAAACGCTTCTATATATTTGTATTTTTTGTTTTCTTTAACTTATGTTTTCTGGGATTTCCTGAATATTTACACTACTGGTCAAATGTTTGGAATTTTTTTTTAAGAAGTCTTTTCTGATCATCAAGGCTGTGTTTATTTGATGAAAAATAACAGTAAAACAGTAGTATTGTGAAATATTATTACAATATAAAATGACTGTTTTCTATGTGAACATATTGTAAAAAAAGTAATTTATTCCTGTGATTAAAGCTGAATTTGCATCATCATTACTGCAGCCTTCAGTGTCACATGATCCTTCAGAAATCATGTTAATAAGCCGACCACTTCCAAAACTCAACCTCAGACTCAGAGGGTTTTGTATGAGTTTCCTCTCTTCTCATGGCGACAGGTGTACAGTCCACATGCTCTTCCTCGTTATCTTTCTTATTCTGTAAAACAAAAACAAAAAAAGAAAATCATATCTAAATCATATTTAAAATCAAAATATTTTAAATAAAAAAGTGTCAAATTCAAAATCACTTGTAGTGTTTGTGTGAAAAATATGAATTAAGAATAATTAAGATTTATTCATGTATTTATTTAGAAAGAAGTCACTTATACCGACCAGGGCTGGATTCATTTGATAAACAGTACCGAACGGTAATATGGTGACATGTTATTACAATTTAAAATAACTTTCTGCTTGAATATTTTGTAAAATGTAATACATTCCTGTGATCAAAGCTGCATTTCCGGCATAATTAATCTTCAACGTTTAATTTTCCTTTCACATGGTAGTTTGTCCACAAAAATAAGAAACAGCACAACTCTTTTAAACAGCTGATGACAATTGAGACACGTTTCTTGAAAAACAAATCACCAAATGGCTGCTGAAAATTCAGCTTTGCATCAGAAATAAATCACATTTTATAATATATAAAAATAAAGATTGTTGCAAAGCACATTGATAAACAGGTAAATAATGATTCACTGATGCAAATATCAGTCCTTCTTCATTTACTCACCCCTACATCATTACAAACCCATCTGGCCCAGTTTTTTCATAAATCATTTTTACACTCAGTTTCACAATTGAAGCTCCATTCTATAAAACGACAGGCTACAAGACTCCAAACAAAATTCAAATAGCATATATATTTTGTATTGTCTTTTTTATGTTAGTAAGTGATGTTAATGATGAAAAACTAGTTATTATAAAGGGAACGGTCTTGGTGTGTGCTTTTGTAAATTGGCACCAACATCTGACAGAAAACGTCTTACAGACATCTTGCAGATAATTCATGCTGCAGATGAAAATGCCCTTTTTGTCAAATATTTAAGGCTTTTTAGCCATTCAAACTGGTGAAAACAAGACTCAGAGAAGTATTTCTGATCCTAGTTTTTTTTTTTTTTTTCTTAAGTTTTGTTCACAAGATATAGGGATGTTAGTCAGAATGGGCAACACTCAACACATATATTGAATTGTACTGGAATGTTTAATTAATTATAAAATAACATGTGGCCTAATAAAAAAGGAGGCTTTTGTAATTATCGGATATTGTGCTGGTGTGTGTAATGGATTATTATTACAGACAAAAGCGCAAGCGCACACTGATCGAAATCTGACTTACTGCTGAAATCATACAGAGACACACGACATGAATAAATGATCTTACCGATTTATGTGCATTTCTTTTGTAGAACACTGGCTCAGTGTAAGTTATCTCGTCATCACGAGTCTCAACTGTTTCAACAGCAATAATAGATGGATTAAAACAACAAAACGCTCATCTAGATCTGTTTCTTCAAAACATGTTACTCGGGCTGTTAAAACTAAAGTGATCATGCAAACTATTAGTTAAATGTTTAACGCTGTAGTTTTTAAAAATGACATTTATACATTTAATTTGACATTGTAACTTTTTCTCTCACAAAATCTCTAGCAATGTATGTTTATGATTAAATGTGAAGAGACATTACTTACAAACCAATTGTAAATCAAACCCAGACGCTTAACACAAGTGAAGTCCTTTGCATTCTTTGCATGATGACATGTTTTTTTAGTGGAACATATGCTCATCCTTTATAGAGATGAACACCAGTGCATCTTTACACAGGTAAGATTATGTTTGTAAAGTGTGGGGAACGTTGTATTATTAAATTAATGCAAATTTGCATTCCTGTGTTTCCAGTGTTTTGATGCAGTTTGCAAAATGCAGAATCTGTGTTTGTGCTAATGAGACGAGTACAGATAGCTGCCCAGTGCCATTATATAGATATGGATATGTATTCTGACATGAGTGTAAATCCACAGGAACCGCCAAACCCAATAGCTACATATTATTACTCGTCATCACGAGTCTCAACTGTTTCAACAGCAATAATAGATGGATTAAAACAACAAAACGCTCATCTAGATCTGTTTCTTCAAAACATGTTACTCGGGCTGTTAAAACTAAAGTGATCATGCAAACTATTAGTTAAATGTTTAACGCTGTAGTTTTTAAAAATGACATTTATACATTTAATTTGACATTGTAACTTTTTCTCTCACAAAATCTCTAGCAATGTATGTTTATGATTAAATGTGAAGAGACATTACTTACAAACCAATTGTAAATCAAACCCAGACGCTTAACACAAGTGAAGTCCTTTGCATTCTTTGCATGATGACATGTTTTTTTAGTGGAACATATGCTCATCCTTTATAGAGATGAACACCAGTGCATCTTTACACAGGTAAGATTATGTTTGTAAAGTGTGGGGAACGTTGTATTATTAAATTAATGCAAATTTGCATTCCTGTGTTTCCAGTGTTTTGATGCAGTTTGCAAAATGCAGAATCTGTGTTTGTGCTAATGAGACGAGTACAGATAGCTGCCCAGTGCCATTATACAGATATGGATATGTATTCTGACATGAGTGTAAATCCACAGGAACCGCCAAACCCAATAGCTACATATTATTATTTTTTTATAAAAAGGAACTAGACGATGTTAGCTACAGGAATTATGAGAATAATTGTGATTAAATGGTAATCAGTGCTATCAATTAATCAAAATTGTTAGATAATTATTTTA